TGAATTCTTTTTTTTATTTCCTCTTTTCATCATTTTCATCCATTTTGAACACTAAAGGACCATATATAAAATAAGCCTTGCATTGTGGGTTGCAGAGCTTTTCAAGCTGCATCTTCTGGTATATTTTGTATTTTCAAGAAAGATATTACAAATTGAAAAAGAAAGATACAATATACGGGAACCATCATGGGCATCCGTTACTTAATTTCGTCATGCGAAAACAATTTTCTATTAGTTCAAAGTTATATATCTTCACTATAACTTGAGTTATAGTTGTGAAAATTTAGGGTAATACTCATCTGGTAATGATTGACTATCAGTCCAATTTTGAGCTTTTCTCCATTTGTTATAAGGGAGAAAAGGGATTTTTTTCTGCGAGGTACTAAGACTTTTGGATCACCCTTTATTTATATTTTTATCGAATCATGGCACGCATTTTTATATATACATAATATATGGTTTGATTTAGGGTTAGGCTTGGTCGGGTTGGGTCAGGTACGTTGGGTCAAGTCAGGTCAAGTCAAGTCAAGTAAGAATATATATATCTAAAATATATGATTGGATTTGGTGTTGGGTTATGTCTTGAGGATGAAGACATGTTTTGATATGAAACATGTATATAAACTTTTCTATACATATTTCATACCATAATAGGCTTCATTTTATGGCTTGACCCAACCCAACTCAACTCGAAATTGAATCATATATTTTATATATACACATAAATACATATTCTTACTTGACTCAAGCCAACCCAACCAAACCCAAGCCAACCCAACTCAACCCAAGCAAACCCAACTCAACCCAAGCCAACCCACACCCAACTCAACCCGACCCAACCCACATCCAATCCAACCCAATCCTAACTTAGACTTCACCTTCATTTCTATATTTTTTTGTGAAACACGATCTGAAAGGAGTGTTGAAGTGTTTAAGGATAGAAATTTGGATCCTCCCCCCTCCCAGACTGTGACAGACACTCACGTGACCCGTCACAGACCGTGACGGACAGGCTTCGAGGGCATCACAGACCGCGACAGATAGACCCGGGACCCATCACAGACCGTGACAGACAGGCTTTGGATCCATCACAGACGCCGATAGGCAGGGTCTGGACCCATCACAGATCGTGACAGACAGGCTTCGGACCCATCGCAGACCGTGACAGACAGGGTCTGGATCGATCACAGACCGTAACAGACAGGCTTTGGGCCCATTACAGACCGTGACAGACAGGGTCTGGACCCATCACAGACCGCGACAGACAGGGTCTGGACCCATCACAAACCGTGACAGAGCAACTATAGTTCTAAAGCATCAGATAAATGGTTAACTAGAAATGTATCGGAAAGAAATGGAACAAAACGATTTCCATTTAACTAGTAACGATAGATCCATCGTGTTTCACATTTTTAATCCCGTAAGGGATTGCGCTAACAGCTTTTTTAAAATTAGACGGGTTTTCTATGATTATCCTTAAAAGCATTAGATTAAATTTTCATGAAAGTTCTCCTATAGTCACTTTATTTGAATTTCCTGGAAAACGAAATTTACTATCGCATGTATGCTATTGCGGTGAGGATAAATAACATTACAACTGTGTGCTATCCTGATGTACGTGTGTGTGGGTATGATGTGTGAGTGTGGCTTGGTGTGGGTGTTAGTCTTCTTTTTAACAAGATCCAAACAACGACATTCACACACCCAGCCACAAACAGCCACGCCCACTCATACACATCCACACTTACCCGCAAGCACACCCCACATCCTACCATACCCACACCCTCACACCCACACCCTAAAAAGTACAAAACGTCTAATTTGAAATTTGCGTTGCGAAGGAGATTTTTTTGAAGAAATCATTGTTGATCTGAAAATTTTATTAGAATTGCATGTTAATATTAATCAATATGGCGGTGACTCTAAAAAAAACCGCTTTACATAGAGCAGAACAAATATCTTATTTCATTTCTCTTTTAGATCATATTGATAAACATAAAAGAAGAAAATCCAAATAAATTTAAAAATGAATGAAAGATTAATAATTTTGATAGTGATTTTTTTGAAAAAGTCGAAGAAACTGATATTTACAAAATTCTAAAAATTAATGAAGCAAAAAGGAAATAAAACCATCCATGTTTTCATTATGTATTAAGTGCAATTATAGAGAATTATTAAAAGTGTAAAGATATTTAATCAAGCAAGCCGCATAGAAATTATTCAATTGAGAGCAAAATAAATAATCACAATAGGAAAATCATTCATGTGTTTTAATAATCAAAGTAATTATAACAGTTTAGCAAAATTAAAAGAAGATTGTGTCATTCCATTTCAAGATGTAACAATCGATAATGAACCTTATGGAACATTTTGTGATAAATTAGAAAATATTGAAAATAAATAATTCTTGATCATACTTTAACATTATTTCAAGAATAAAAAACAAAATTTTATTAGGAATTCAAAAGATTAAAAATGTTCGAGGGCGTGGGTATGGGTGCGTGTGGGTGTAAAAACAATACATACACCCACACTCACCCACACTCACCCACACCCACACTCATACCCACACCCACACACCCACCCATACCCACACCCACACCCACACCCATACCCTCCTACCGATAGAGATCATTAAGTTATTTTTTTAAGTCATCTAGCAAAAAAAACTACAGTGTAACTTATCAGGAAATTCATTCAGAATTTATATTATAATAATGGATTCTTTTAGCACTACAACAAATTCTGTCTGCTATTGCTTTCTCTTATGTTGTAGTGGATAACTTAACTTTTTTGCTGTTTAATTGTATGAATTAATCTAAAACTTAGTAGTTGATGGATCGATTAATGGTATAACTGGTGTTAACTGATGGATATTGATTTGATCAATACATGTCTGATTGTAAAGATATATAAGAGTTGATTGAAAAAAGAAACTCAATAGGAAGGCAACCAACAACAAAAACAAAAATGATGTATCTATGGACAACATGTCTTTTGAGCACCAAAAAAAAAGACAATTGAGCACCTAATTAGTTATATGTGAAAAGAGCACCAAAAAATAAGACAAATGAGCACCAAATTAGTTAAGTGTGAAAAGAGCACCGAATAATAAGACAAATGAGCACCAAATTTATTACATGTGAAATGAGCACCAAAAAATAAGACAATTGAGCACCAAATTCAAACATATGACATAAGAACAACAAATTTGTACATTAATAACAAAAAAAACAAATAGGATACATAATAGATATGCGTACGAAATCAATATACAAAAAAAAAATGAAAAGCCCATTTTATAATAATAAAACAGATCATACTTTTTTTGTTCAACCTTTTTCTCGTCGTTTACCTAAAAGTTCCGAACGAGTTTTATCAGTTAATTCATAATGTTTCAGTAATATTGCTAAGCCAACTGAATGTTTGTATAAATATAACTTCGTGCCAGTTGGACATGTACATGATTTGAGTGGAGAAACTAGAAAGCAGGGTGTGGTGTATGTGTAAGTGTAAGGAGAGGATCTACTCGTGCACCCATATTCACACCCACACCCTTGATTAGCTCTATCGAGCGTTTAGACGATATTCAAAAGTTGATATTCTTTGTGTCACATTTTTTGATTCTTCACAGAAATGTATATTATTATAATTTTCAAGCTTGTCGTATATATACAGCGTTACTCATTTGTGTACCATAATTTACAAAAAGGAATGAGATTATACAATTTGAGTTGAGCTCGTCACAACTTAGCATCTGTATATATTCGAATAATACTTTGATTCTTTTAAAATAGAATTGATTTATCTCTTTAATATCTTTTTTTTCATTTGGTGCTCAATTGTCTTATTTTTTGGTGCTCATTTCACATGTAATAAATTTGGTGCTCATTTGTCTTATTTTTCGGTGCTCTTTTCACACTTAACTAATTTGGTGCTCATTTGTCTTATTTTTTGGTGCTCTTTTCACATATAACTAATTAGGTGCTCAATTGTCTTTTTTTTTGGTGCTCAAAAGACATTTTTTCCGTATCTATTATGAATGACTTATTCAATGCAAGTATATGAAATGAAATATAAACAATGTTCATATAAAACAGATTGTAAAGGAATAGAGATAGTCCGATAAAATTAGCATCGTATAAAATCGATGAATAGGTCTCATTGATTGAGTAGAGAGTCCTTTTTAAATCTCATGCAAATTTGTACATAGCACTACGATCAGCTCGGCTTGATGTTTTGACTGGTTCGACAGTGTTATCAATTCAATTTTATGTAATACTTAAGCGCTAATGAAAATAGATAGAAGAAAATGAGAGACATATGGTGTTATATTTTCTTGCACTAGAAAGTACCATCAAACAAGACTGTAAATATAAAGAATATTGCTAATTGGACTTGAAACGATCTCATGCGATGATTTTTTTTCTTGAATAAGTTTAACTAATGAAACTGAAAAATGAATATCTTTTTTAACAAAACAGGGCGTTTAAATAGTTTTGCAATTAATTGATCAAGTGATGATGTTTTAGTCCTTCCCACCTTTATATATATGAATTATCATTCATTCGTTTTTTCAGCATGTATCGCATAAAAAAGAAGCACTGAACGGCTTCACAATTGTAAAACACTGAATAAGATACAATTTTCCGTCTACAATTAATTTCCTATTGACATCAATTACATTTATATAATCTACTTGTTTTTTAATTAGTTAAGTAAGACAACCGTTTTATTCTAGACTCATGAAACATGAATGATAAATGAGCTTCGTGTATTATAACTTAAATGAATTCGAATAAAAACTTAAAGATATAATTTTTTTTCTTCTCGATTCAGAAATTCTGTTGGAAATTTACTCACAAAAATAAACAATATGTATTTTCTTCATCGCTAGTGCAGAAAAATAAAAAAAAATCATATCTTTAAATGAACTTTGCTAATTCAAAGATCGTTTATTTTATTTAATAATAGCAAAACATATTTTATAAAAATTAATACTACAAATCTTGCAATGATTGCCATTCGAAAAAGAGATTATCAGCTACACGTTTAATTGTATAATTCAATAAAAGTTTTTCAAAATTAATCATTCGTTTTAATTTTTTAATCATTTCATCATCTGCTGTTGGAATACGAAAACACAATAAACGAAAATAATCATTACAATCATCTTTTATTTTTTTGAAAATATATCGTAGAACAAATTTGAAATCCATACGTTTTATAGAATTCACTTTGAGATATTCCATATAAGGACATAATTTCAAAAGAAAAGAAAATTCTTCAATATCATTCATCATCTCAAGATATACCTTTGTAATTGTACTTGTATCTTCTATTGAATACAAAGTAAGAAGTTCTTCAGAATTTAATACTCTCGATCCATATAATGATAAAGAATGAATTTTTAATGTAGTAAGTTCTGGTAATAAACTTACAGCTTCAATTAATGCAGCAACATGGACATTTTCTTCTGAAATTTCCAAATGATAAATTTGTGCTATAGTCAAAATGTGTGTAATATTTATCATCATAGACTCCTCAAAATCATTGTTATCAACAAACGTGATAATTAGTCGAGTAGATTTAGAATATTCAATAGAAGAATTTAAAATTTTATTTTGTGTATATTCATACCATCTTTTTCTAATAGAATAGACAAAAAAATAATCTGTTTCATATAAAAAAAATATTCTCAATATGTACCTGTATGGACGAATGAAATAACTAATAGATTCATGATCGATTTCAACTTCAAATGTCCATTGTCGTTTAATCCAAGACGATGAAATGAATTGATCTGGCCCTCCAGGATAATGATATTCTCTATCAAAATTTTCAATATATCGTAAATAGAATTCTTTCAATTGAGGAAAAGATTGTAAAATTAATTTTTCCCATCGATAAGCAGTAAGAAAAGTTATATCTTGAGATCGAACAGTAACACGTAAAACTTTTAATTTCGTATCTATTTTTCTAACGAGTATTTCAAATTCATGAAATTTTAAACGATTTATAGGTATCGAAATATCTGTTAATTTTGATAATGTGATTGGTAATATAGTTTGAATATTTGTATGAAAATCAAATGCATTAAAGAGATGTAGATGACGAAGTTGAGGTGTATAAGACATAATAGAAAAAAGTTCATTGTAAGTCCAAGAATGATCAATGGCAAGATATTCAATAGTACTCAATCGTTGATTGGTAACCATTGGAAGTGAAATTTTTCTATTATAATCTGACATGATCATGAACGATTTTAATTTAGGTAAGGCAAATATTAATCGATAAATATCATTGAGATTTTCAGGATTATTTGAAGTGTTGATAGTTAAAGAGAAAAGACGAGGTAGATACGCTAAATTAATAAGAATTGAGGTCAAATTATCTACTTTTTGTCTAATAGAAAGTGATTCGAGACAGATTAATGATGAATCGAAGGTAAACCATGAGAAAGAATTATTTTTTAATATTGAACATAAATCGATAGAAAATATTTTATATCGACTAAGAAGAAGATATAGTTTATAACCACTTATATATGGTTCACTATACATTGAATCATAAAGTGTAACTTTAAGTAAAAGAGATGAAGAACTGAGAAGTTTTTGAAAACGTTGATTAAGATGTGAAAATGCTTTATATATATCATAACCATCAAGGTAATCAAATATTTCATAGAAAAATTCATTTGATAAATTTTCAATGCAAGTTATTGATCGATCAAATTCATCTATTTATATGAAAATACGGAAAAAACTCTGTATGTATTATTCAAATAACTTACTACGTAATTTTTTTGCTTCTTCTGTTGATGATTGATTAAAAGTGAGTTTTCGTTTAACTTGATTCATATGTCTGTGTTTTAAAAATTTTAAATTAAATGGATAGTTCCTATCTAGGTAAAAAGAAATAAAATGAGTAACTCTTATTCTATACTACATAAAAAGAATATCATCACTGAATTACTGAATATTTATTCTGGAGAATTAACTCTATCGTTATTATCGATAATGATCTTTATCTTATTCAGCCACTTTATCAATTCAGTTCTGTCGTAGATCAATACGAAGACCTTCTTGTTTTTTTTTAACCAAACAGAAAAAAGAAAAGAAACGATGCATCGTTCAAGGTCAACATTATAAGGAAGAGGTCATACAACGACAAGAAAGGAAGCATACCGTTCATTTTTTTTTTCACATTTATATATGAGGAAGGAAAAAAATAGAAACGAGAAGAAGAAAAGAAATAAATGTACGTATTTTAGAACAAGACATAGTAGATGAAAAGCTGTTTGTTTTCAGTGATAGATATCACACTTCTCACAAAGGAAGAGAAAAAAAACTATTAAATTGAAAAAGAGAAAATAGAAAACACGTCAATAGTTAATTAAGATATAACAAAAAACACAAAAACAGTGCATGGAAATGAATTGGTTTATGAGAAACTGCATATTATAGTTAGAATGGTTATCAAGGATTGAAGTGTACCGTTCATCAATCGTTACAGCACAGATGAGTAAATTTCCAAAATTAAGATATTTTTTTATAATGTTCGAATAAGACAGTGAATGACAAAGAAGATTATCGTACTTAAAAACAATTCAGTCTTACACTTTTACTTTAGCGAATTATACTTTGTCAATCTATGCTTTGAGGGTGTATGTGAGTCTTCTCTATACTCACATGCCTCCATAATCACACTATCCTCGATAGAACTAAGTAGCAAGACGTCAAAACGAAATTATACATAATCTAACATGAGATCTATTCTGACAAATTTTTATACTATGGTATTATCAAGACGTTATTGAGTATAGGTCTCGATATGATTTTTCTCGTGATTTGTAGCCACATCCAAGTTTATGAAAGAGGAAAATAACTCGGAGATGAATATCAAGCATATTTGGAAATTTCTTTTTTGAAATAAATATAAAAATTCAAAAGTATATAGAAAAATAATGACCGTAGGGTGCAGATGTGGATAGATGGGAGTGAGCAGAACACACACACGCACATCCTCATTCCTACATCAATATCTATTTTATCAGAATTTTATCGAGATTTTTAACTGTTGTGGACTCGATCACAAACACAGTCAGATATGGAGATGGCAGACCGTTTATTGTATGAATCACTACAATTAGATTTTGTGATCAGATGAGGCATCACTTAATCGAATTCCAAGAATGATCAGATCTATTCAGAAATTTTTTGGAATCGATTACTTTCTTTTATTTCGAACGATAATCATGTTGTATCGCTCAACAGAGACCGATCTTAGTCGATTCAATCTGTATTTGATATTTCATCTAATCTGATATCTTTTGAATGAACTCTGTCTCAATTGATTCCGATATGTTAATCTTTGACGAAGAAAAGAACATGTAACAAATGAACAACTGATTTAATAAGAAACTTCTCTATGGAATAATCAATCTGAACACGATTCGATGATCAATCATTTAGTTCGATTTTGTTACTATCGAACGGTGGGGATGCGGTTCTTGTGTACATCAAGATACACACATACACATCGTTCGCAAATTTTCTTTTCTTTTCGTCAGTTTCAGGATTTGATAATTAATTTACCAGTAGCTTTGACTGTCATTTCTCTCAATCGACTTTATTTTATTTTTTTTATTATGTTCTTCTTTTCTTTCTCAAAAAAAAAAATCGTTCTTTTGGGGAAAGACAGGGTGTGGATGTGGCGATGTGGTGTGGGTGTATTTCCTGTGATTATTTATAATCAGACCCACACCCACCACGCATCCGTTCCTTGAGATTTAGATTGTTGAGTGATCCTTCTAGGCTTTCTAAAGAAGTGAACAGGATTGAGAGTAGGGAACCGTCGATGTAGAAGAACTCTGATGAATCGAGGTATAGACAGATTACTATGTAAATGATTGATGAAATGTTAGAGTTCGTTTTGTGTTTGGAAGAGAAGAGAAACATTGAATTAATGAGATCAAATAGAAACAGGAGAAAAACTCGATTTGAATATTGTTCATTCATGAGAGATGGGTGATTTGGATGTCAACGGTAATAATGCAGAATGAAAACAGCTTCTCTTCTACATCTGGCAGACTATCGAAAAACAGAAGGTGGAGGCCATTTGGAAAAGTGAATTTTGGAATAATCAGCGGTTGAAATAAGTTCTGTTTTTTGCTTATGGATGAATTAGAATAAAATATTGAGATAGTTCTATGACTCCAGTAAAACCTCTGTTATCGATTATATTGGCAATATATAAATATCAATGATTGATGGTAAAGTCTTTTCAGAAGAAAACCAAAAGTATAATTCCATATTTATTGATAATCTTACGTAGCACAAGACAGTCTTGAGGCTATGGCATTTTTGTTGATTTATCTGATTGAAGTCATGTTTCTTCTCGTTTCGTTGCTTAACATTATTTTGGAAATATGAAACAACGTTCATTAACCTAATAGAGTAAAGACAATCGTTCCCTCTGAGATTTCTTCAAATATGTAGACTGCTGAGATGTGTTTTAAACTGGCTTCCTTTTTTATTAGCTTTTATTCGTACGGTGATTTATGTTTATTTTTAATTTTCTCTCTAATAAAATGAATACATCAAAATAAAAAGTTGCCTTCTTGTGCTTTTTTTGCAACGAAAAAATATTATTGAAAAAGGGAGAAAAAACCATTCTCTGCGAATCACCTTATATATAGCAATCATACGAACTGAATTCCTTCACTTCTTCCTCGGAAGGTAAGAATTTTTTTCATGTGTTTGAGCTAATAGAAAAAAAAAATCCGAAAAGTATAAAGATCAATTGCGTTGCTTGATAAACTAGGTAGGTGAAACTTCCTTTTTACATTGACAATATCATAACACGAATGAATATATGGGACAAATTACTCATTTCATACTGTACTACCTTGACCTACACAGGGATTAATCATAGAGCTATGATTCAAAGATTAATTTTTTACAGATATATTGAGTATATCGTACTAAGTTGATAAAAATTATGAAGTTCGAACTCAATATTCAGGGATATCTTCATTTGATTTATAATATACAGGGTATCCTAAGACTCCACTAGGAAAGTAAATTCGTATAATTTCACTATTTCTCTAGCTTGATCAACTAATTTTTTTTCACATGATAGCTATCAGTTTAAAATGTTTATTTCTACGACAAGCTTGTCGAATACTGTTCAAAATTATAAATTTTGCATGACATGTAAAACACGTCGTTTTTCAATTTCAGCGAAGCAATTTTCGATCTTACTCTTTTATGTTCCGTTTTCTAGACTTTTCTGGAAATTATGTATGTTTTCGAAAGAAATACTGGACGTAAGTTCAAAAGTAAGACTATTGAGGCTATCTCACCTCCTCATTTTAATCATTCCTTCCGTAAAAGACGTTAGAAACCAATTATTGATTGAGAAACAAAGTAATAATATGTATTTGTGGAAAAAGGTCAAAAAACCAAACAAAAACATACTGAAAAAGAGAAACAGAAAAAACAGCATCCAAAAAGATTGACGAACATGTTTTCAAACTGTACAAATGAATTCGACAAATACTAGCCCTAAAGAGCGATTCGTCTGAAAAAGAAAAGTATGGTCCTTAGGGAAATTTTCCCTTTTCACAATCTTATTCATCTATCGAGGCTACAAGGGAATCGGTGAGCTCCACCTTTTCTTGCGCCAAAGGGGCTCCATCCATAAAATCCTTTTGTGATATTTATATCGCCCTGATCTTAGGTTATCTTTACACCGATACAGTTTGACAGGTCATCGCAAAAACTAGTAGCATTGGCGTCGATTCTAATAATTGGGAAACTGACGGACAGCTTTTCCACTCCAATTCACTAACCATCGTTTCAAAATTAAAAATATTCTTCTAGGCTGCATGGTCATGGTTTATACCATCATTATCATTCGTGAATGATCATATGAGTTTATGTGTATGGTTGTGGGTGTAGATGTGAATGTGATAGGTCTAAGAACTCAGACTAGCATCAAAATCCATACCAACATATCACACTCACGCCCACGCCCACACCAACACCCTATACCCTCACACCCACACCCACACCCACCCACACCCACACCCCACATACCTACACCCAACCCACACCCACCCATACCCACACCCCCACCCCGACCCACACCACACACCCACACACTCAAGTTTTCCTCCAATCAATCGAAAGAAAATAATTTCCTGCTTTTCTTTTCTTCCAGTGCTCTCTATTTGTTCTCTTCCATTCGGTACGAAGAGATGAACGAAAGACAACAATATTTAATCGAAGTATGAATGATAAAGTGAGAAACAAATGGGCATATTCAATAGAGATCATCGCATACAGACGAATCAACCAAAAATACAGTTCGATCGAACGCTTGAAAAAAATTATTCTGATATGATGAAACATGCCACGCAACTTGATGCTAAAGTTAAGATCTTTTGACTTGCCGTGAGTCGATATTTGACAAACTGGTGAATTGTACGATTGTCTCTTCAATCATTTATCATTGAATAGTCTTTGTTTTGCATTTATTGATATATCTTGTTTTGCCAGTTGTGAAACATCAATCTAAATTCTAACAAAACTCCCATATGACATTCGACCAACAGTCAATCAGGGTGTGGGTGTTGCTGAAGAAAAGATGCACATGAACCCACACCCACACCCACACACCCCCCCCCCCCCCCCACACCCACACACACCCTTGGTCAAACGTTTGAGACGATGAAAGAAAGATGTAAGAATTCCTGATGATTGTTGCTAACTATTTTTTGGTGGGTTTAATAAAGCTCGTGGAATTTCTACTTTTGGTAGTAGTGCTGTTGTCGTAGCAAAATATTTTCTGAGAA